ATGGATGGATGGATGGATGGATGGATGGATGGATGGATGGATGGAAAATATGTATCTGGTAGCTAAGATGATCTGGATTTTTAGCTTATTTTCCCAGTTTGCCTCATGCTTACAAATATAAACAAAAAAGATATCAAAATCTGGACTTTAAATAAACATAAAAAGGTTTTAAGCTTGACTGCTATGGACAACTTCTACATTATTCAGAAATATAATAGAAAATTATTTCAGCTGCAGTCATAGTGAAAAAAAATTGCTCTCAGCCTGCAAGTTATCTTAACAGAGTAACAGTCTAAAACACACTTAAACATAAGCAGCATTTATATACGTAGTATCCTTTTTTTTTTCCATAGCTGCGGACTTATTAAAGATTCCACAACTATAACTAGGCTATTAAATCCACAATGCAAAACACAAGGATGCCTAAAGAAAAAAAATATCAAAGCATGTGTAATATAAAAGGGGTCAGTGGCTCTATAGCAGCAGGGAGGATTAACAGGAAGTGGACCCCAAATTAATATCAGCATAGGGGCCTCTGTGTATGCATGTTTTTGGTAATTGTAAAATTTACTAGGGAGGCATTTGTTGTATGTTTAGTGCTAAATGAGGCTTCCAGAGGCAGAAAGTGGGATTTGTTGCATGAAGAGTGCAGCATGGTTCTCATCACTCACACATGCTTGTATCTCAATATGCCTACATCTGACAACAATAGACTTACCTAGGGGGTGAGGCACAAGTGAGCTTTTTGTTTTACTGTTTGGTTATTTTGTAGAATTTGTCTCATTTGCTGAACAGAACTATTTTCCTGTCACAAACGTGATCTATTCCATAGAGCCATCTGATGAGGGGTAATTAAGTGTCGGAACAAGATGGCAATTTAACCTTCATTGAGCTGCATCACATGAAAAGGAATCATTCATTGACTCTTTTAGGTAAACATGAAAAAAAAAACAGGTTTACTTATAAATTCCGAGGCTAGGTGAACTGGAATTAATGCAATGCAAATTTAGAAACTCCAAAGTGATTGATTTGTCACTGAAACAGACAGCCTGTCTGGCAGAACACTGTGCCTGTACTTGGAAACAGAGGGGAGGGGGGGGAGAAGGAGTAGCACAAAGAAAGAATTTAGCTCCAAATCATCGATAATTAATAATCCTTGAGATCAAACATGTGGTAAACAGCAATTCCCTAGGGGAGGTTGTGATCAGAATCTCATGCTTAATGATCAATAAAGCCTCAGCTCTTTTCTATGCAGGCTGGCAGACAACTGACTGAATCCCGAATTACTGATGCCTGTGACATTCAAAACACATGTTTTCCTCAGAGGAGCCCAGAGCTGATGGATGGAATTTTAATGAAAAACAATATAGAGTAAAATGCTGCACAATTGTATGCTATGATTTTCAAATGTTTTCAGAAAGGTAAATAAATCACATGTGAGATGTGTTAAGACATTTGCTTTTTTTTTTTTTCTTCTTGTTTTGATTTTTGTTTTCTCTTTGTATCTTCACATGAGTCTGGTACGTTCATTAAAAAGTAATGCTGTTAGGGAAACTAAATAAAATATGCAAAAAGAAGCGTGCATGGAGCCTCAGAATAGCATTAAAACACAGACAGGGCGGTTCATTCTGTGATGCTGCGTGTGCTAGTCAGCCACAGCAGGGGCGGAGCTAGATGGGGGACCAGGGGTGGCCATGGCCACCCTTAGCCAATCATTGAACACCCCTACCATTTTTTCCCTCTAATACAAACTGTGGCAGCATAATACTCTGAAGGGGAATGTTCAAACTTATTAAACATTTACATTTTTCATATATTAACAACTACTTGACAACAGAAACACTGTGGTTAATTATGCACATCAATATACCAACATTAAAGATGATAGATACAGAATTCATGCTCTTTTCAGAACTAAATTTGGAATTATTTGGGGTAAAGATAAAATTATGTACCTCTGCAAGTAATCTAGGACATAAAAATTAATTGAATGTGGATATTAATAGATTTAAATATATTTTTTTTTGCAGAATGATTATTGATAAATGTAGGTAATGACATTGAAATGTGTTCGCCCCAGAACTCAAACCTGAAAGAATTTTGTCCACCTTTTATTTACACAGCATCAGTGGTGTCAAAAGTAAACACATTTGTTACTTAAATAGAATTAGTTTAAAAACACTCTAGTAAAAGTTTAAGTATCAACTTGACCTCTTTACTCAAGCAAAAGTTAAAAAGTATGTGCTCCAAAAGCCATTTAAAGTATAAAAGTATACAGTAACCTTTAAAAAAAAAAACAGCCAGAAGCCACTATATGAATTGAGAGCTAAATTTTTTGAGTATTTCGAAAAATTCTTTGAGATAGGGCCAAGGATGAGGGAGGTCTTGTTGGTCTCTGTCTCCATCTCCCGATACGCTCTCGCCTGTGTCCGACCTTTCAGACATTTCAACATCTTTTTTTTATCTGACACTGTAGCATGGCATAGACGATTCATATTTGCAGTTTAAAGAACTCCTGCTTGCTTCTGCTACTTAAGTACAGTAACGAAATATTTGTACTTTGTTACTTGACATTTCTGCACAGCATAGATGTTTAAATATATGCGTCTATTTGTTAGCAAAATGCTGCAGGAAAGTATAGTTTGTCTTTATTTAGAAAAAATGGATGTTGTGCTCGTTCCTGTTGGAACAGTAGATTGACCCTGAGGTTCTGGTGCCTTTGGGCCACCTCTCAATGCTCATTGGTTATTGACTGGCCACCCCTATTAGGATTTTCTGGATACGCCATGGGCGGTTCTAAACAGGGGCTAACGGGGGCCAGTGCCCCTGTAAATCATGTCCTGGCCCCTGTTGTGGCCCCTGTACTGAAGAAATAATACTTAAAAGAAATTCTAATGATGATATGTGCTGGAACAGACATGGTTACTGATAGGTCCTTTTGATCTATTTCATTTCCTTTTCTTTACAAATTATGTTTTACTAATTAATTAAAAACAATAAGGTGTTATCTTCAGTGGTATTGAGATGGGATTGCAATTTTCATCTGCTAAATGGAATTTTTATTTAACCCAATTGAATAGAAAGTTCACTTCTTGTAGCTCTCTTAATATATTTGAATCCCTTGCCCTTTCCCCCCATGAAAACACACTGGCCCCCTCCTGGCCCCCTGGTACATTCAGGTCTAGAACCGCCACTGGACATTTCATTTCTGCTAAGATAGCATCATAATTGGTCTCAATTGATATAATCAGGGTGCTAAATCCTTATCAGCAGTTTTTTTCTCTCTCTTGTGTTTCACGCTGACTTTACATTTGGTATGTATCAAAAAATGTCCACAAGGCAAAAACAAGCGCAAAACATGAATAAAATAAAAATATATAGTTGAGAAGACCTCCTGGCCTCTCAATCCAACCCAAAAAAGAAAAAAAAAGAAATTGGCTGTGCCACCAGCAGGGAGAGACAGTGAGATGGAGGATTTAAAGCCTAGTGGCCGCAGCTCGGTTTGTTTTTGTGTCGGTGGGGCTGGATGGGAGGGAGGGAGCAGCTTCAGTACCAGGCACAGCTCTCCCTCAGCACGAACACACAGGAGGAGGAGGCTCCTACATGCTTCCGACACCGTTTCTCCTGCTGCTGCTCCTCTCATTCTCTCACGGAAAGCGTTTTCGAGGCCATTGTTAATCCAGCGGGATATTCTTATTTTTTTTTATTTATTTACCAACATCTATATTTTTTCCTGTATTTCTTTTTTTAACGGATTCCGAAGCCGAGGGGAATAAAAAAAGGAGTGTCGGGTGCACCAATGTTCTCGTTACACGAGGGTAGCGGGCTGCTTCTGCTCCTGCTCGCAGCAGGACTGCAGGTAATGTCATTTTCTAGCGGAGTTATAAACCGGACACTTTTAGTCGCTTTTGTTCCCCTCCTCCCTTCCCTTCCCTCTGCCTCCATCATGCTGCTTTTGGGACGGATTTGTAGCCAGTTTCAATGTGGAAAAAAACCTAACATTTCCAATAAATTCGCCATTATCTGGCTTTTAGCGGCAGTTACTCCGGCTTTATTGATTGTTCGCTAGACGCCGAAAGGAGGAGAGCGTTTGAATTAATTATTTCAGCTAACCGACTCCTAATTTACAGCCTCGTTTAGGAGTTTTTCTGCGGTTGGATCCGGTTGCCTTGGAAGTTGATGCCATAGGCCCGGAGTAAAGCCACAGAATATCCGCCGGTTAGCTTTCATCTTTGGATACGTTGGAAAAGCGCCTCGGTGCTGCTGCTGAATGTAAAGGACACAGAATCGGATTTATGAGTTCAAAACCGGCCTTAATGTGATGCTTTGTGAAAAGGACAGATTTTTTTTTTACTTAACGGATGAAGCATCTAGAATGCGTCTTATATAAAAGGAGAATACAAAGATGGTGGTTTAATTTCTGCCTTTATTGCTTCTAAAATCCGCTTCTCTCTAAGGTCCGACGTGTATTAACATTTAAATCCTGAAAAAAATGCAACCTGCTGCCATGACTGATTGGCTGGGAGCCCAGATCTGCTCCCCCCACCCCCACCCTTTTCTTAAAGCCCGTTTTAAACTCCTTAAAAAGAGTGAAAAAAGGGGCAAGATTTGTATATCAGAGCTAAAAAGAATGTTGGCTACAGATCCACTGATCACTGTAGGCAAAAATACAAAAAAAAAAAAAGATAATTATTGGAATTTGCGAACACTCCCCTTAATGGCTCCCTCAAATAATGTTTTTTTTCCCCTTATCATTATATATTTTTTATTTTTAAATCATCATTTAAGTGAATTCTGCTCGTTGTCTCTGGATTATTTATTTTGTGAACAAATGTGTGTGCTTGTGTTTGTATTAGTGCAAATTAATCTTATAGCTTTAGGGCCCAGTAGGTGATACTTGGATAATTTGTTTTCATGTAATACTGATTACTAGCTTTCTTCTTCTTCCCCCCTATTTCACTATTTTAAGAACTCTCAGCATTTTTGGATTATAAATATATTAACCAATTTCATGCATTTTGTACGTTTTTTCATTTTTCTAAAAAAAAAAGATAATTGTTTGGGAGTTTGGCTTTTAACACACAAAGCAGTGATTCCAAACTGCTCCCTCCATCAAAAGAATCCAGAGCATTTATTTTAGATATTATGATTTTTGAACTTTATTGTGTTCTAGTTACTGGGGGAAAATATCCGAATCAGCAGTTCCTCCCAAAGTAAAATCGGAAATGTGTATTGGCCAGAAAAAACACTGACCAGTGCTTCTCTAATGCTGAGGTTATGTAAACATCAAAGCATGCTTTTTAGTCATGCCCTGGTAGTCTGTGCTGAATTCTTTCTTCACGAAATACTGAGTTTTACCCATGTTTGGCTTTAATTTTCTGCTACAGCTCAAAATGCTTTGTAAGGACGATATTAAGAAAAAGCCGAGAAGAGAAACGCATAACGGAGTATATTGATTGGTGATTATCCAGCAGTCTCTTTGAAATAAAGGAAAAAATGCAGTGGTTTTCTAGCGTTTGCTCAGACATTCACACATGTATGTTTATTTCCCACTCCCTATGTTGCTACCGTTTGCTTTTATTCCTTCGTTCCTGTACTTCAAAGCAAAGAATGTTTGTCCAGACGTAATGTTTTGATCGCAGGGGCTGGCAGACCACTACCCTGTTCCTGGGCCCCTGTTCTGTGGGACAAATGGGGCTTGTTCTTTCCTAGCCATGCTCTTTGGGTAATGCTTAACCCCTTTGCCCTCATTATCCTAATTGCGGCCCCCGTTATAAAAACAACAGATGCTTTGTACAAGTGCGAAGAGTTCAGGATATGACCAGGAGGTTTTGGAGAAGGAGTATTTTTTTAAAGGCTGATTTATGACTCATTTTTGCAACCCTATTTACCCCTTTCTTCAACAGATTGCAGCAGAGGCCAGGGGTGCCCCACCATGCAGGCCGGGCTTCTCTGAAGATCTCTACACGGTGGTGGTGCCAGATATCACAGAGGAAGGATGGCCTCTCTTCAACGGTGAGTGGCGAAATAATCTTGGTTCTGTTTCATGTCGGATGATGGTTGCATCTGGGTTTGAGTGTGTATTTGTCTTGGCATTCCCGTCAACGGTGCCTGCCTCCGTGTGTTATATTTCAGGGGGAGGATCTGAACAAGGCTGACATATTTAAACAATTAGCCTCAGTGCAGTTGTGTGGTGCTGCAACCCATGTTGTTTGCCTTGTAAAACAGCTCAAACGGGGTTCAACTTAACAACGTCTGCACCTTCTTTTGCTTCCCTCCCCATTTTTTTTTTGCCCCAGCAGGGGGAAAGAATGTAGGTTGTTAAATGTTGGCCTACACTTTGGGGTTGCTTACCCTTTTTTTGCAGCATTGTTAGCATTTTAGATGAACATTAGCTTCTAGCATTGATTAAAAGAATAAAACTTCCCTTATACTTTGGTTAGATGCAGCATGTTGCAATGACATGAAGTACAATACACATTTGAATACTGTTGTGATTGTAATTAAACAAAAAAATCTAGTTATTAAACATAACATGCCTTTTGCTGGCAGACTGGTTTGCTTTAATTAGGTTGCCCCGTTGTTTTTTTTCCATATTTTTTTTATCCCAATTAAAGGTTGCATTTCTGCAGATTTAAATATGAAGTATTCTATCATACTCCACCACTTTTTGGCCTGAAGATTCAGCTTTAATCCTTTGGTGCCCAACGGCATTTCACACCGCTAACTTCAACAGTAAAATGCTAAAATAAAACAGTTTTGCTGTTGTCAGAAACAAGATATACAAAAACTGCATATTTGTTTGAATAAAGGCAATGGATACATTGGATATGACCTTCTACTCCTGTTTAGTCTAATGTTTGCCATATAGGGATGCAACTACTTGAAATAGTGCGAAGGTCTGCAGACGTAATAAAAGCTGGAATATCTCACCAGTGTGTCATTAGAGGGGTTAGGGCCTTGAGGTCATTTGGACCAGAAAACATTCCCGGTTGTGTTGAGTTTCACAGTGTGAGCCTAAAACTTGCATGCCGTCGTCATTGTGAGTCAGAGTGATGGAGGGAGGGGCGGGAGGGATGTGGTAGTGACTAGAGAATAAAGGAGGGAGGAAAGAGAGTGGTTTGAATGGGTGGATTCTGCTTTCACTGAGCTCTACCTAGTGCACAAGTTTGCATTTGATCCTGCAGGTGATGGATTTCCCTGTGTTGGCTTGGATGAGCCGTGACCAGCAGTAATCAGGTTCTCTTTTGTTTGCCACCCCTTCTGTCTTTTCTCTTCTTTCCCCTCCCCCAGCGAGCTGTTGCTGTGAGGAGATTTCCCTGACAGTGAGGGGCACTCCTGTGTCATTGTAATGCAGCAGGGCACAGCAGCGTGGGCTGATGTTAATGAAACTCCATTCTCTAATGAGGATCTCCTGTGGCATGTTTTAAAAGACAAAGCCCCCACAGTGTCCGGAGTAATCTCCAAAGTTCCCCCCTTTTTTTTATTTCCACCATGCTGTTTTTGGTTGTCGTTTTTGACCAGTCGCTCCAGGCTGTTTTAATCTTGAATTATCATTTTTTTTTTTTTATAATGCTTTTTTAAAAACACGCAGCAGCATTCGGTCAGCTTTCAATTAGCTGCGCCATTTCCTGAATACTGAATTACGAGTCAGCTAGAACCTTAAACGTGTCTGCAAACCAAAATAGATCAGAGTCTGACGTTGAGTTTCTATCATGTTATAAATAACATTCTCGGCTAAATTCAGAATGCATACATCTCCTTTGGTTATTGATGAGTAGTCCTTGCTGATTCAGTCTGCTTTTCTTTTTTTCCTTGTCAAATGGGGCCCGTCTGAGTGTCTGTAATGCTATCTAAAGGTTGCGTAAGACGTCAGTAACATGATTCCAGCTCATATTAGATTGCATTTCATCCAAGATATACAATCAAAGTGGTGGGGGGGATACCTGTTTAAAAATCTTTCCACCATTTCATTGCAGCCGTCTTTCTCTTTTTTTTTTCCGGCTAATTAAGGGAATACACATCCGGTGGCCTGGAAATGGTTGTAGTTAGCATGTAAACAGCAGACATTGTATGTGCTAAATTGAAGACATCCTGTTGATTAGATAATGGTAATTGTGGGCTGCCAGTTAGCAGAGGTAATCACATTCTGGTGGATGGAATCTAAACTTTTACTATTGGCTTGCTGGATTGTGGCCCTGCTGGTTTTTATTCAACATGTTGAACCTTTAAAAAAAAAAAAAAAAAAAAAAAAAAGTAAATCCCAAATAATCTTTTTCTGCCCAGCTAACAAAGAGCAGTCGAGCTCATTGTTTGGACATGAAAAACCACTTCAAAGGATGCTGTCTGTGGTCGTTACCATCATTAATGTACCCATCAGAACAGTTCTATTTACTTTAGGTTCCTGTTTTTATATAGTTTTTATTTATTTTTTAACTTTGTTAAAAAAAATCAATTTTTTTATCTTTAGAATTATTATAACTAGAAATGAGAACCCTGTTTTTGTTATTGGCAATCGATTGTATGAAATGGAGCAGACAATGTTGCTGTAAAAGACAATTTTAGTAAACGGACAAAAGCAAAATTCGTATTCTTCAGATTGTCCACCACATTAACAATGTTAATTTTAACACTAATAGGACTAGAGGGAATAAATGTAAAGTTTTTTTGTACCTTTTTCAAATGAGAAAACAGAAGTTGGGTATCTGTAGCCAGAAAAAAAATGAAATAAACATCAGTAAAAGCTTTCCCTTTATGGTAAATTGAGGCATGATTAAAAATTCTCCTTACAGCTGCACCCATTTGCCCCCCTCTCTGTTCTCAAATAATGGTTTGATCCTCTATACCCACGTGATACTTTTATTTTTTTTTTCCAATGCTGACCAATCAAAACAAAGTCCTGCCAACAGCAAAGGTGGGGGGGTGAGCAGAGATGTTTAAGTAGCGCTGAGAGCTAAGCTGCTGCGACCGAAGCTGCATCAGATGATTGCAGCCGACTACCTTTTGTAAAGTTTAGGCATCCTACACCTTTAAAACTTCATCTCTTTCCCTTTGCTCGTTTTTGCCCATTGCTGTCTCTCATCATTGCCAATAACTGCATTTGGCATTCACGTATCAGCAGGATAGGACACAATCGGTGGTAGCCACCCACCCAGAACGCGGTGTGTGAGATATTAAATGAAGGCTCCAGGCAGATAATTTGCCTTGATGAATTTTAGGATGAATTCATCATTTGATGAATAAGCCCTAGATGCAAAACTCCTGTCTGAGAGGGTAAGCGATGTCTGAGATTTTTAAGTGGATCAGCATTTCGTTTGTGATTAGTGAAACTAGCATAACGGATTGATACTCTCTGTGTATAGTCGTTAAAAATCCCCCAAACTCTGTCAGTTTTTCTAAATCCACCATGTTTTATGACATTGGTTGAGAAACGATGCAGATTGTCAGTATTTCATTCAGCCTTCCTGTTTTCTGCTGAATGTCTCGCTCTCTCATGGCTTCAGTGGACCATCGACCACTATAAAGAGACTTTATAAAAAATAATTTTCCTTCTCAATAGTTTTTAAATTCACTCTAAGATTAACTGTTGACTGGAGGCATATCGGAAGAAATATATATATATATATTTTTTAAATGGAAGGCTGATTTTTTTCTTTCTCTCTGACCACTTCACTAATAATGAATGATGAGATCTAACCAAACATATTTTTATAGTTATGGGCTTGAAAGAAGCCAAACATTTCCCACATCAGCACAGTAGTTCCTTTTATGGAGTTAAGCCATTTGATTACAGTGACTTGTTTTACTAGATTTCATTTAATATAAGGTATGCTGTGGCTGCGGGGGGGTTTGCCCCTGGGTGTCTAATGAAATTCTTGGTGGCTTTTGAGAGCTGACACACATTTTGCCCCCCGCCTCTCTCTTTCTCTCTCCAGTCTTGATAAAGCTCACAAAGCAGAGAAGCAAGTCAGATTCGCCGCATTATTCAGCCGTGGCTTTTCCCCCCTCCCTAAATCTAGGTTAATGAAAGCCCGAAAGCTTAATTGAGCCTAATACGCCCTCTTATTCCGCCGTTCTGCCATCTCTATCCCCAATTTTCTGTTCTCACTTCATTTTTTTTCCCCCCTCTACATCTTTTGCTGACAATTATGCAGGCTCTGGCCATGACGGAAGCGTGCTTGTCGTCAGCTTTGGCCTTGGTTCAAATGCTTTAAATGTGACTGTGGAAAGAGGGCCTAGTTATGTAGCTCTGCATATGAGTGTGATTCGGGGTGTCGCTGCGGGAGATTTACAGTTGACCAGTTTAATAATGTAATTGAAACAATTAGTGTTAGTGTCAGCAGTGTGAACATCAACATGGGGATCTATAAAGATTAATAGAAAGATAATATCCAGCATTTATAGTTTTTCTTATTTAATTCTACTCTGTTAGGAAATCTGTTATTCTGACTGAAGCTGGAGCCCCACGCACATTTGTTTTTTTTAAAGAGGCCCCAGCATTTGGTGAGACATGACCCTGCTTGACCTAGTCTTGTAAACTGGGACGAGTACCCTGCAACAAACTCACCAACCCCCCCTGTTCCTAGTCTAGCATTAAAGCCGTTGGGATTATTTCCTGGTGAAGTATGGATGAGTGAGAGACCATCGACAGAGGTCCCAATGCATCAACAGGGAGGCCACATAAACATGACCTTATGTTACCTAAAGTTATTGTGACCCGCAGGCTCCATTGCATGTAACCTACAGAAAGAAAAGAAAGCAAAAAAATGAAAATGGAAGAATAACATTTTTTTCCGACACGGTTTATGAGGTTTATTAGTATTTCTGCTGTGGTAAAGTTTTCTCCTTTTGAAGGGAATATGCAGAAAAGGGATGACCTGCTGTCAATCCTTTCGCTTATTAAATATTTTTGAACCTGTGCACCAGTGCTTCTAAACGAATTGCAAACCAACCTCTTTTAATGTTAAAATTCCTTTTTAGAGGGTATCCTTGACATACTTTGGATCACTGGTGCC